TCGACGGTGATGGATGAACAGAGTCCTCCCTGGACGCCGGCCATGGACGGAAGGGAAGGGGAGAAGAAGAAGGAAGGAAGTTGTCTTCTGTGATCTCTGACCTTCCTCTGAGCTTACGTAGATATATGGAATGGAATATCTTTGGCCAATTTTGCTGTGTCTGTCTAACTCAGCCTCCTACGGGGGGTCACAGATCTCCCCATAGTGTCTGAGCCGGCAGAGTGCAGGTGCAGCCTTGAAGCCTCAGTAGTTAGAAAAACATTCCACTGTCTTATCAGCCTAGCAGAACACACTGTTGCTAGTTACAAGAAAGCTTACTGAAGGAAAAAAAAAATCAGTAAAAAGAAAAATTGGCTTCATCCTGGCTCAAACCAGGACACACATGTAAGTGAGTATTCTACGATTCTGTGATTCAAAGAATGATTAGTTAGGTCCTGTTCTCTGCCCTCAACCAAGTCAAGCATTGCTTCTCCTTTGGTGGCTTCAGCTGCTCCATAAAAAGCTATCAATATTGCCCAACCACCCACCCTCTGATGCAACAGCAATTGGGCCAGTGGATGTTTCCCACTGCAGTTGTGCTTTCCGCCCTTGCTGCCTCCCTCGCCTTCATCAGGTCTCTGGGAGAAGTCACCAAACCTGTTAATAACCTCCCTGGTGTGAGGTGAGGAAATATATTTTCTGGTTTAGAATGTCAGATGCAATTATCTGTCCTAGGATGGAGTTGCTCCAGATCCCAGAGTTGCCTGCTATAGAGGGAGTCCAGACAACTAACTCAAATGTGAGCATCTGCTTTTGGCCAGATGAAACCTGCCTGCATTGCCCTGGGAATTGTTCTGGTTTTGCAGATTATATTCTTTATGCCTCCCAGTATGGCTTTTGCATTTTTTGCCACCGTGTGACCTTGCAATAAAGGTGTGTCCCAGCTCTGGGGACAGGACTCCAAGCAGAGCTTGGTGCAAGGCCAGGAACTGGCAACACTTTCGCCCATGCAGGTGGGTCCTGTGCTCTTCAGACCTGCCTTCCCCTCCTCACGTATGCTACCACAGCTTCATATTTTTGATGAGAGAGAATTATGACTGTCATGTTAGACATCATGAGTTTGAGACCTGCCCAGCACGGCATACCATGTGAGAACTGTGCAGGAACAGGCAAATAAAAGATACTGTTGGCAACTGCTCAGCTGATGAAACTACTCACTTTTCTTTTGTGCTTTTTCTGGCTCCATTTCAGTAGCAGTCTCAGTTGTGACTGCTTTTCCAAATTACATCTTCTTTTCAAGCACCAAAACTGGAAGAAGTAACTAAAAGGCACACTTGCTGCTGACAGGTTGCTTGTCTGACTGCAATGGATTGAAAGTTCTTCTTATCTGTATTTTGTGTTTAATAAAAGTCTGCACTTCAGTTGGTGCTTGCAGTCGTCCCCTCTGCTACTGAGGACAAGGTCACAGCTGAGCCAGAAGGTTTTACTGAAGTGAAGATGAACAAACAGACTCGATGAGAATTCCAGACCAACCAACAGACTTAAAACCTCATGTTCCTCAATTAATAAGCATTAAATATTTCACTGCAATCAATACTGAATTTGACACATAAATCAATTTTCAGCCAGGCCAAACCATCAAATTACCCAGGACAGACTATAAAATTAACCAAGCACAAACACCTTCTGTAGATCAATAATCCACTCATCCCAAAAGTTATGTAGAAGAAGGACAATGGATTTGAAAAGCCACACACAGAACATGGAAATGTCTTCTATAATATTTTGCCACAAACCAATGTATATATTCATATTAATTGTAATATCTGGGCATAGGAGCAAATAGAGAATCCTACTTTCCCTTCCTTCTGAACGCAGGATGATCATAAGGTGGTCCCATAGCCACATGAGCCATGTTGAATGTATCCAGAGCCTATCTCATGCTTGCTGCTGGCTTAGAAGTCATCAAGGCAGGTGTCAGCAAGGTGTCAGGGCAGCATCTCCACACCACAGCCATGCTGTCAGCACCTCTGGAGACATCTCATCCACTAGAGATCATGGTGTTGAAGTCAATCACTCAAGAGTGACTTTGGTGTATTTTGCCTTTGTTCAGGAATATCTTGATCTGCTTCAGTTCAAGGTGATCTAGGAGAGCACTCATCAAGTACCACAGATCTTCTCTGACATTAGGAACAGGCTCTCCTCCTCAGGACATTCCTGCCTTGGGCAACAGCAGGACAATCTACATGAGATACTGGGAACCAGTAAACATCTTGAAGGCAATCCAACATTCCAGATGTGGTTAGCAGCACCTTGGAGGCTGCTGGAGAGATGCAGACCCCTGAGATAACTGGTCAACACACATAGCTGGCCAAGTTTTGCCCTATTTCACAAAGATTTGGGGGCAAAACCTGAATTCAGCTGGGATAGTTTCAGCCTGAAAGTATTTTCTTGCATTCGGGTTGTCCACCATTCCCCAGTTTTCTAAAAATCTCTCAACACTTGAGCATGGGGCTGCAAGTGTTGTGTGGTCTGCTCAGGCTCTCTGGAGGGCTGGTTGTGTGGGTTAGTTTTGTGGTGACACAGTCCTATGTTTCTGTTTGCAGGCTGGAAGTTTCTACCTCTGGAGTCAGTAACCTGGTTCAAAGACCTGTCTTCAGAGAAGCAGAATTCAAAGCTTAGCATGAAGCTTTCTCATGGAAACAGCAGCACAAAAAAGGATTAACTTCTGGTTTGTTGCTTTGATTTACTCTTGACGGACCCCAGTGATAAGACATCATGAATTCAGGTTTAGGTGTTTTTGTACAGAATAAAAAAAAAAAAAGCCAGTTTGGGCAAAATAAACCCAAAAAAGGTCACATGGTACAAAATAATAATAATACAGAATAATCTTACTCTCCTAGGCCTAATTTATTAAAAAGGCTTAATTTCACTGCAGCCTGAGGGCCAGGCTGGGTGTATCCACACCATTCTAACGTGTCATCAGATCATTTTGGTATTTCCATGCCCCATAGGTCACTATAAGGTCCTCCTGGAGTCTTCTCTGTTTCAGACTGAACACCCCAACTCCCTCCCCCTGTCCTTATCAGAGAGCTGCTCCAGCCCAAGGATCATTTCCATGGCTCTTCTCTGGACACATTCCAGCAGCTCCACATCCTTCCTGTGCTGGGGGCACCAGAGCTGGACACAGTTCTAGGTGAGGTCCCACCAGAGCAGAGCAGAGGGGCAGAATCACCTCTCTCAAACTCTTGGCCACACTTCTTTTGGTGCAGCCCAGGATGGAGTTGGCCTTCTGGGCTGCAGCTGCACATGGGTGGCTCATCTCCAGCTTCTGATCCACTGGTACCCCCGGGTCCTTTTCCACAGGGCTGCTCTCCAGTGTGACCTCCCCCAGCCTGTGCTCATAGCTGGGGTTACCTGGGCCCAGGTGCAGGAGGGTCCAAGGTACACTTGGCCTTGCTGAACCTCCTGAGGTTCCCCTGGACCCATTTCTCCAGCTTGTCCAGGTCCCTCTGGATGGCATCCTGTCCCTCTGGCACTTCCTATGCTTAACTCTATGCATAAAGTAACTATTCCTCCCACTTAGCCTGAAGGAACCATGCTTCAATATCCATAGGCTGCAACCAGGTCTGTGATTTTCTGCAGGTCTGGATAAGAATAACCATTTCTACCTCCAGCATTTCACAGCAGTTTATCCCATCTATTCAGAGGGAGGGATCTGCTAACTAATGATCAGACAGCTTAGTTTGGGGTTTAATTAGTATTTCTAGAAAAACCAACAGGCTTGAAAAAACACAAAGGTGACAAAGAAAGTGCAGCAAAGAGAATGCAAAGATCAGTAATGGATTTTAAATCTGTGCTTCATTTGCAGTGCACGTTTTGATCCAAGCTTTCAACCCAACTGCTTGTCAACCAAGTAGTTCAGGAGAAGCTGCTGACAGACTCTTCAACAAATTCCTGCTCCTTTTCCACAAATGTACAAAGACTTCTCAGAGAACAGACAGGATGAAACAATAGCTGCAAGGAGACAGGCAAAACCCTTCAAGGCAACTGACAAAAGCAAATGAAGCACAAACTTTGTTGGTAACGGAGAACTTCTGCTCCCAGACACAGACTCCTGGAGAAAGACTAAATTTCAGGCAACAGAAAGTTCAGAAGATGGAGAAAAGTGCTGGAAACAGTATTTAAAATCTTGATTAACACAGGAGAAGTTGAAGGTGCCATGATTAACAGGTAACGAGGGAGAAGGAAACCCATTGATACAGGAACATGTTCTGTTTATACACACAGGAAAAGCAAAACAGAAGAAAATCTTATCAGTGACAGAAAAGGAGAACAAATAAAGGAAGGCACAAACCCCTCCTTCCCCCCTGTATCTCCTGTGCTTCAGCCTTCAAATAAAATCAACTGCCACCAGTTGCTAAACTCAACCTTTTAAGGAAGATGACAGCAAGAGGTAGAGCAGGACAGAACAGGTTATGTTGTGTTTGGTTCTGTGGTTACACTGAGGTTGGCAGTGCCTGGAAAAATGCACCTCCCAAGTCATGGATATTTTTTAATAACTACAAAAAATCATGGCATTTGATGGTTCTACACTGACTGGAGAACGTTGGACCCGTGGAGGGAAAACTGCTCAGCTCAGCTCCAACATTCAGGAAGATCATAAACTATCCAGATGTAAGGACTTGGAGAATGAGGCAACGTTAAAAAGTGACAAATCCAAAAGTCACCACAAATTTGTCAAGAACAGGGGGGGAACAGCTGTTCAGAGAGCAGCACTGAAAGAGATACAGGGATTACAGGGGATCAGAAAAGGAATCTGAACCAACGTGGCTATTGCAAATGCCACGCTGAGATAGGTTACCTAATTAACCTGATTATTGGATGGAGATGTAAAGAAGAATGCAAAGCTGCCAAGAGTCCAGAGCAGCCCAAGAGTGAGAAAAGGTTTAAAAAATATGGCCTGTGATGTCCTTAGATTTAGGAGGATTTGTTTAGTCTAGAAAAATGACACGTAGGAATTTGGCACTGTGTGAAATTATCGAGTTATCCAACACGTTAGTGTAAGTTGATGCTAACTGTGCTTAACATCTGCTAGACTTTGGGGAAGAAATTTACATTCACAACCCAAGTACAGTTCAGACGCTGGTTTTAAGGACAGTTTTGAGTGCTGAAACAGGCTATCTAGGAATACTGCAGGCTTTGAGAGAGGCAAGACTGCCTGCTTCAGGTGTTAGCTGCAAAGTCCTGAGGGTGGTAGCAATAAACACCTCGTGCTCCCCCCGAAGAACTACACAAAATGGATGGTAGAATCCCTGACGGAAACCGCAGTTTTGGTGCAAACCAGAGCCTGTTTCCCCTTGATCCCCGCTCAGCTCCGAGCCCTCACTTCCCGGCCTACCTCAGCCTCGCAGGCCCAGCTGCCAGAGAGACCAAAAAAAACCCAGCTTGGCGCCAAAAAAACGGAGGCCGAACATCCGCAGGGTGACCCCGGGGGGGGGGGACAAAAGGCGGGTGAG